TCCTAAGTAGTTTAAACCTGGCAGATACGTTGACAAGTGTGGTAGACCAAGGGATTGGATGTTGAGTTTGGAGGTAACATCACAGTTGAAGCAGGCTTAAGGACAATTCGAGTTGGATACCTAAATACAAAAACTAGAAGATTCAACAGTCTCTATTTCTGTTCAGGGTCGGAGGTGGTAGATTGTTTCACCCAAGACTGGGCTGGGGCAAGGAATTATCTGTGTCCCCCTTTTGTTTGATTCACTGGGCACTATGCCATGCAAAAGAGTGTAAAACGTGGATAGTAATTATAGTTCCGGTATGGGTCTCAGCCTCGTGGTGGCCTCTTGTGGTAAATTCTTCAAGAAAGAAGATTATCTACTGCCAACAAGCTGAATTATCTTGCTGGGCCTTCGGGGACTTAGAGCCGTGCAAAAACAGCCAGTGGTTACTAAGGGCAATACTGTTGGATTGGTCAAAAGGCTCTTGAGTATGACAGAACATTTAATAGACAGTTCTATTAGTGAAGAGTATAGGAGGCATTTGATAAAGGCTCAGAGTGTTTACAGCGGTTTTGCGAGTTGGGTTGGTTGGGCCCCGTACCTGGCATCAAGAAAACTGCTGGTGGCTTTTCTTGCTTGGTTAAAACTATCGGGCAGGACAGCAGATATGCAAACCTGCCTAGTCGCAATAGCTAGAAAACACAAAGTAAGGGGCTTTGAGGACCCAACGAAGAGGTGTTCGATTCGGATGACTGGAAGGAATCAAGAGAACTGCCACCTGAAAAAGGTTGAGGTGAAATGGCCAAGGGACCCTCTTCCAGTAGCGGTGATTGGGAGGTATATTAACTGCCCCTGCCTGGAGTCAGTATATTGTTGTGGGCATGGGATTTAGCATTGGTTGCCTTGGTTTTAAGGGTTATGCGTAGACTGAGCGAGTTATGCAATTTAAAAAGGTTAGATATCACAGAGAAGGATGGGAAATTGTGAATTAGAGTTGTGAGGTCAAAGACGGATCAATTAGGGAGAGGCAAGTTTATCCTGGTAGAAAGATCAACAAGTAGAGTATGACCAGTAAAATTGTTAAATTGCTACCTGAGGCTGAGGCTGGCTACATCACCGGAGAAGCCCCTATTCCTGTCTATGAGTGGGGAAAAGTTATCTGTGATAGTGGTGTCAGCAATTGTAAGATGGTTTGCAGATAATGCTAGGCTGCACAGAAGGTACACAGCATATAGCTTAAGGATTAGCAGCATGATGGCAGCCCTGAAAAGGGAATGACAATGGAGCAGATTCGGTCAATTGGTGGCTAGTCTTCAGCAGCATTACAGGTATACATGAAGGCGGTTAGTACCGCTGAGTTAGGGGCCTCTAGGCTAATAGGCTTTGTATAGATGCAAAAGGAGATAAGAAGAAAACGTAGGTTAGAATCTTGCCCTTTAGGTCGATACTCAGCAAGACCCATAGTTGCTTTTCATGTTGTTTTCATTTTCATTTGTTGGCATTTTGTAACACCTCTTGATGAGGAACAAAATTAACTGCCTGATATGAAAGTATTGGAGCAGTATTTTGTCTCGAATTGATCACAGGTGTATCGTAATTGATCATTGCTGCATTATCGTATTTTATCGTATGACTTTAGTCATTTGTTGCATCATAGTAATTTATTGTGTGATTTCATTTGAGGCATTATTTTGATTTATTATATGATTCGTATGTGATTTTATGATGTATTGACATAGTAATTGAGATTAGTAAGCATGATAGTATTTAGTAGGAATAGGTTTTTTCCCAGGAAAGGTAGCTTCTGTTTTTTTCTGCTAACCTAACTTTGTTTGTTTTTCCGCCCCGCCATACCTAGCCCTTGTACATGATGGTACAGCGAATTGAAGGTTTTATATGAGGACCCATTGAGTTGACGCTTAGTGTTTTAGCTGATTTTGGGTTAGTTATAGCCTGTCGGATGATAGGCATATACTTTGTTTTAGGAGTGACCTGTTGGGACGATGGTCACAATAAAGTTTGTCATTAGTTTTGGTTAGTGGTGGCCTGTCAGACGACAGTCACAAAATTGTTTTTCATTTTTTATATATTGAAGTGGCCTGTTGAGATGATAGGCGTGAAGAAATTTCTTAGATTTTTATAGCAAAATTGTTTTTTGTTTTTTATATATTGAAGCAGCCTGTTGAGACGACAGGTGTGAAGAAATTTTTTAGGTTTTTATGAGGAAGTGGCCTGTCAGGATGATAGTCATGAAATACTTGGTTTGTACAGATTGTTCATAGTTCACGTTCTTGATTTTAGAACAATAGAAGGAGAAATAAGGGTTTTTTCTAGTGAGATTATCTGGTTTTTTTGCCCTGCCCCTTTGATGTATGATGCCCTTAGAAAACTGTCAAGTTTAGGACAGATTCTTGCAATACTTTCGAGTTCTGCATTGTTAATAGCACAGCACGTATAGTACGTGAGCAGAAGGAACAGATACCCATAGTTGCTTTTCATGTTGTTTTCATTTTCATTTGTTGGCATTTTGTAACACCCTCAATGAGGGACAAAACACCTACGTGCATATTTTTGAAACCCTATCCAATAACTATAAATTATAGAAAATTTTACTCTAATACAAGTTCAAATTTTATTAAAAAATTGTAATTTACTATATTAATTTTAATATTCTATTAAAAACTAAAGGTTTAAAATTAAAATTTATAAAGCTTGTCTAATATTAATTAAAAGATTTTTTAATTAAAATTTTTTTAATTTATTTATTTTTAGTTTATAAATAACAAATTTTTATAATATAAAATTAAATATTCTATAATATAATCTTTATTTTTAAATGTTATTAAAAAATATCCATTTAAGGATTTTATCTTTTTCATCTGTGATGTATAGCGTCACATCAGATCAAGTGTAATATCAATATGAGTTAGTTTAAGATTAGGATTAGCATTAGACTGAGGTTAGATATAGATTTAGAAAAGATGTTTTTAGCCTAAAATTTTGCAAGGAATTTTTTTAATTAGAAGGTGAGAAATGGTTTCACAAACAAAATCTTGCTTGGTCAATCAGGGTAACAATACATCGCTATGGCGATAAATTAAAATCTTTTATTTAAATATTTTAATTTTTAAAAAAAGATTAAAAATAAATTTATAATAAAATTTAAAAACAAATTCATTTCTAATCTACATATAGTTTAAGGAATAAGCACCTTTTTTTGACCCAGAAGTGCGATTATTGTCAGGATTAACTGCATCTGGCTTTTTATAGTATATATTAATAGACAATCTAAATATAATATATTTATTAAATATTTAAAGTGTAATTTGATCAAATATTTGAAACAATAACTTGCACATTTAAATAAAATTTTGTATAAAGTAAAATAGACAAGCACCGTAAATATAAAATTTGGAAATGCTTTTTTTAGTTTTTTTTTAAAGTTAGGATTAGCTTTAGAGTAGAATTTATAGTAAACAAGTATAAGTAGGTTTTAGAAGGCTAAATAGAAACCTCAAATTTTATTTTAATCTAATTTTATTATAATTCGCAAAGAAAAAACAAACGGACCCATATTATTTGTATTTTTAAAAACAATTTATAATAAGTGTAAAATGACCTATGCTATTTTCTAATTAATTAAAATAAAAATAAGAGTAATCATGAGGTAGATAATATATAGAACAAGGCGCTTCATTAATGACTCTGTTTCCAACCTTTGCTAGTTCTTCTTTTAAACAATCTTTGTTACAGCAAAGTTCATAACAATGAAGAGAAATAATATAATAAAAACTAAAACTTTCTTCTAGAAATTGAGTTTCTTCTTTAAAGGCCAATTGATTCTCACTGAGAATTAAAGATAATAGTGTAGTATTTTTATTAAGGGAGTCTATTAATGCCTTTCCTCCTTCAAAATTGAGATTATTATTGCTAATATCTAAAAAAGTTAAAGTTTTATTATTGTAAAGGGCCTCGGCTATTGCTTTTCCTCCTTCAACGCCAATTCCATTACCATTAATATTTAAATGAATTATAGTGTTATTTATGCAAAAAGTTTTTGCAAGCGCTTTTCCCCCTTCAGAACCAAGTTGATTAGAACCAAGATTTAAATGAGTCAAATTAATATTTTTGCAAAGAGCTTCTGCGAAAAATTTTGCTCCTTCAGGACCAAGTTTATTATTATTAAGGTTCAAAGATGTTAAAGTATTATTTATGTAAAGAGCTTCAATCAATTCTTTCGTACCTTCATGATCAAGTTGATTACCACTAAGATCCAATGAAGTCAAGATATTATTCTTGTAAAGAGCCTGTGCTAGTTCTTTTACTCCTTCAGATCCAAGTTGATTCCAAGAAAGATTCAATGATGTCAAAATACAACTACTGCAAAGAATATTTGCAATTGTTTTTCCACCTTCTGAACCAAGTTGATTGCCAGTAAGATTTAAAGAAGTCAGAATGTTGTTTCTACAAAGTATGTTTACTAATGTTTTTACTTCTTCATAAATGAGTATGTTATTAATAATGCTTAAAGAGGTTAAATTCGTATTTGTAAAGAGAAATTCTACAAATAATTTTTTCATTCCTTCTGAATCAAAGTTATTGCCTTCGAGTATTAGAGAAGTTAAATTGGCGTTTATATTAAGGATTTCTATTGTCTCGCTATCAATAATTCCATAAATTTTAAAATTTTTAAGTTTATTACATTTTCGTAGAAACATTTTGATCAACGAAAATTTAACATTATTAACTAATTCATGAGAAATGATTGGACCATATGGGTTATATGGATAACGTTGAGTTAATTCATATGGATACGGAGTTAATAGAAATAACGATATGTGAGGACTAAGCCATTTTTCGATACTAATCAATAAATTATAACCATCAATAGAAGTAGTATAAGCTATATATTGAAATAATGGCTTTGAAAATTTCGGAAGCTTTATATTTAGTGGAATAAGTCGTTTTTGATCCTCAATGTTTAATGATAAGAAATACATCATTGTAATCCTCTCATCGACAAAATAGTCCAGTGGTTTGCTCCACAATATTGGTACTGCAATTCTACACCATTTACGATTTACAAGAAGGCATGAAAATAAACTTCCACGATATTTCTTAAAGTCACTGAAATTATTAAATATTTCATAAATGCATTCATTCGGCAGTATCTCAATCATTTTGAAAGGATAAGTGAGGTATATATGTAAGTACGAACGTACGTACGTACGTACGTAAGTAGAACAATCCCATTAAATGCGTGTTACG